CTGCCAGAGCTCCAGGAGGGTTTGGATGATCCTCTGGGGCACAGGGTGTGACCCTTGGAGATGGGCCTGTGCAGGGCTGAGGGTTGGACTTGATGATCCTTGTGGGTCCCCTCCAACTGAGCAGATTCTTTGACTGCTGATGCTGAGACCCCTCCTTGGTTTTGGCTTTGCCATCTTGCAAAAGAGAGAGTTGGATGTCACCTGGAGGTGTGCCAGGGGTCTGCTGTGATGGTTCACCTTGTGAGGGCTCAGCCCAGGTGTGCTGTGGGGTGGGCAGCTCCTGTTCTTGCCCTGCCTTGGAAATGCCAGCGCACATCAGGGACACGAACAAGTGAGAGATGTCAGCCTTGGTGCTGTGTTTGTGTTTGGTTAATGAGAGTTGGCATCTGGAGCTGCTTATCCTTTGTCCTTGAGTACAGAACAACACTTGGACCACAACGGGCTCTTCCTCTCACTCGTGATCAGCTGTGAGGGTCTGGCAGGAGGTGTGTGGGGGGGGAGGCTGTTCTTCCTTGTGGGGTTAGAGACTTTAAGCCCTGAGGAGCTCATTCCACCTGACTGCACGTAGCAAAGCACCCTCCTTTACCAGGGCTTGGGTAAGAACTCGGCATTCCCCCTGCAGAGAGGGCTGGATTTGGGGTTCCTTCCACACTGTCCTGCATGGAAGACAAGGTCACAGTGGCCAGGCAGGTGCTCTGGAGAGCTGTTTGAGGTGGTTGCAAGCAGCATCACTTGGTGTTTGGGTAGGTGGGTGGAGGTGGTGGTATTGGCAGGGCTGAGAATGCTTGTGGAGGGGATGGGGAGAGCTCTTAATCCAAGGCAAACTGGCCACCTGCTTCCCAGGGAGATACTTCCCGTGGCTGTGGCCTGATTACGGGGAGCAGATGGGTGAGATGGGCACGGGGTCTGTCGGGTGGTTCCTGCCACCTTCCTGCCAGCAGAACTGTGCACATGGCAAATGGGGTGAGGCAGTTCTGTGGGTCCATTAAATCTCTTGCAAAGCCTGGTGGGATTTGGGATGGGAGACAGCCCTGGGGACTGTTTGTGCCACTGTAGGTGTGCCTGTGTCCTCCCTGCGTGGAGGCTGCACTGCAGATCTTCTCCTGCTGTGCAGCATGGCCAGTCTGTCACGTTTGTCTGTCTCTGTGGTCCGGTGTCGACATCAGAGTTTAATTTCAACCTGCTGAGTATTGGCCAAGACTAACTGAAAATGTCTGTGGGGAGCTGCTCTGAGAGCCACATGGCTCCTCTGAGCCAGGCTGCGGGCTGAGCTCAGGGGTGACTTTCTCCAGGCGAGGCACGAACAGAGCTCAAATTACTGTCCTTGCTTTTGGAGGGTCAGATGGCATCTCTGGTGCCTCCAGACTGTGCTGTGTGGCTTTGCTGAGCCCTGTGTCTCCAGCAGAGGAGGAACCCACTCGCCTGGGAGTGGTGTCTGGCTGCTGGGAAGCACCCTACATATCAACATTTTGGAGGTCCTGATGCAGGACAGGTGTTAATGAGCAAAGTGCTTTCACTGCAATCCTTTGAAGCTGAGGCTGACTCTGGGACTTGGGAGCAGGCTCCCAGGGGTGGAGATGTCCTCTGAGGTTGGCAGGGCTGTGAACTCAAGCAGCAAAGAACTTGTTCACACTGCACTAGGGGGTTCAGCTTTCTGCTGCTGCTTCAGACAGGGCTGTACACCTTGTTTAGCTGGCTAATGGGCTTGTGCAGAACATGTCTCTGCTCCCAGGGACAGTGGGACATCAGGCTCCTCGTGGGCTGGGAGGCAGCAGAGCTGTCTGCTGCTCATCCCTGTCTGGACAGGGACACCTAAGTGTATAGGAGAGCACCAAGGTTAAGAAACAGCCTCTGCCACCGAGGTCTCTCTGTCAGCCAGAGTGCCAAGGCTGTTCTGTGAATCAGGAGGGGAAACTGCTGCTTTTGGGGGAAAACTAGAGAGAGGTTCACCTCTCAGAGAGCTGGAATCACTGCTGGTAAGGGCTTCCACAGTGCAAGGAAGCCAGCATGAGGACTTCAAAGGTGATAATGTCTGGGAATAGCACCGGGGTAGCAGGGAGTGCTCAGCAGTGCTGGGAGTAGGGGGAAAACATGATTTTGAAATGAAAGCTGACCTGATTCTGCTGCTCCATTTCCGCACCCTGTGTGTGTTTTCACGAGGCACTGCTCCTGTGCAGTACCTGAAGCAGGTCTGAACCTGAGGTTTTTGCTTTCTCCCAGTGCTTACGTGTGTGCTGTCTCTCCACAGCCATCAAGGTGAGCTGCATTGGGTCCTGTGGGGTGTCCAACAAGATCAACGACACAGCCTGGACCGTGGAGGAGCAGTACTTCAACAGCACCCTGTCCCTGGCAGACAAAGGTATGGGCCACAGAGACCTGGGGGAGATCTGCACTTCTGGGATGGTTTGCAGAGATGGATCACCCAGACCTCAGCACCCTCTCCACGTGAGATACCCCTTCACAGGCTGCCTTGGCCTGTGCACAGGGGATGGGAGCCAATATTAGAGACTACAAGAGCTTAGTAGGAGCTGTGCAGAGGAGCATCCTGAGTAGCTGCAGAACTTGGCAGGCACCCTGCACACCCTGCTGGCATCCTCTGGCCCTGGTCTGCCTGAAGCAGAGCTGTCAGCAGTGACTGCTCTGCTGTCTCAAGGCCCTGTGGGTTCACTCTGCCCCACTTCCTGCTTGTGTTGACTATGGTGGTCACAAAACTCTTCTCAAAGCTGGCCAGAGGAAACCAGGAGTAGTTTGAAGGGGATTTGGAGGTGTCACTTGTGCTCCAAGAGAAGCACTGGGAGCGTGGCAGGACCAGCCTGGGACAGTTACCTCTGCATCACCCACAAGTGAGATGCCCAGAGATGGTGACAGGGTTGTATTATCTATGGGGTAAAGTGACACCAGCAGCCTCTGGGGGGATCTGGGCCCGAATGAATGCTGTCTTTCTGCTGTTAAATAGGTCAGCCTTACCACAAATAATTCATGCTGTGCCCTGGCTCCTGTTGAAATCAAGCAGTGCCAGTATTCACCTGCTGAAGGCAGTGGTTGTAACAGTAACATGGCAAAAGCCTGGGATAGCAGGAGCTCAGCCCTCTGATACTGTTTTATCTAATAACAGGAAATGGGTTAAAACTGAAGTGGCAGTTTCTGCTAGCTCAGCAATTTTGCAAGCAGAGCTTTTAGCATGGAGGGGAGACTGACCTCATCCCCACAGCAACTGGAGAGAGTGCTGCGTGCTCCAGGTCCCTGGGAAGGGAGACAGCTGGCTGGCTCACCTCTTGGCTCATGGCCTGGGGGCTGCAGGGGGAGGTAAACTGTCTGGGAGGGCAGTGGGAGACATTCCTGCCTGATTGTGGATACAGGGCTGAGCACAGAGCCTGGCTATGAATGTCAGGGTGACAAAATCCCTTTATGAGGTGCTGCAGACCACTGAGTTTAGATGAGGTGGGGGCTGGAGCCTGCAAATGAGTCTGGACTCGTGGAAAGGTTTAAACCTACAGCTGAAAAACGCACCTTTTGTTTCTAGTATTTAGTGATTCAAGGGAGAGCTGTGATCTTGTGGTCGGTTCTGTCCTGGTAAAGCTGAGCAGTGGCACAAGCCAGGCTGGAGTGGGAAGAGGCAGATGTGCTGTTCGTTGGGTTTGCAACCTCTGGGAGACTTCAGTGGTTGCTTTGGCAGTCAGTTCTTGTGAGGCTGCCCTTGGGAGCCGTCCCCTTGACAACTAGGACCAGTGTGGGCTGGGAAGGATGGAAGGAAGATGCATTGATGACTATGCATTTTCATGGCTCTGAAGTGTCAACTTGGAAGGCCTGAATTCCAAAGACAGCCAAAATTTGGTGTTCCCAGTTCTTAAACTGTTCATGGAAAACCCTAGTCTTTTGGCTCTTGCTTTGTCTGGGACCCAGACCCTTGTGTGCTGCCCAGTGCAGTGCTGCTGTCTGTCACCTGCTGGTGTCACAGACTCTGCCAGCTTGGGTGGCAGGGCTGGGCTGCTGGCAGTGCCTGACTTGTCTGAGGTGCAATGAACTGAAGGGGAAATCTGAGCCTGCTCAGAAGCTGAGGTGTGCTGTGGTGTCATTGCTGTCCTGCCTTGCAGAGCTGCAGTGTGATCATGGGCAAAGCCTGGCCCCAGTACCAGCAGTTGGTCTGGAACAGCCTGCTGGGTACTCGCAGTCACTGACCTCTGCCCTTCAGCTTTTTGTGTCCCACTGGACACAACTGCTGGATGGGATGAGGATGGGAGGGGGTGGTGTTGGCCCTGCCTTTGGCCCCGAGTCCACCAGCAGGGATGACTTTGAAGCTGCCCCTGGCAGTTGCTGTGCTGGCTCCTGTGGATGTGGGAACAAAAGCCCTGGGGGCTGGCACAGCTCCAGCCTGCGGCACAGGGACAGAGATAACCCTGCTGTCACAGCCCTCACCGTGACATTGATGCGTGTCTGGGCTGGCACAGCAGAGGGAAGCTGGGCTGCTGCTCCGTGTCCCTGCCTCTGTGTGTGCCTGTCTGTCTGTCCGTGTCCTCCTGGCAGTGGGGCAGTGGCAGGGGTTTGCTGGGGGATCCTCGGTGCTGACTCAGCCATGGTGTTTTTAGTCTTTCCAGGAATAGCTCCCAGCTGTCCTGGCCTTTCCTGAAGAGAGCACAAAGGAGCTTCAGGCAGATAGAATGTCCCTCATGGGTGTTCCCTGGGGGGCTCCTTGCAGGGCTGACCCCTGGCTGGGAGGGGAAACTGAGGCAGGCTGGACTCCTGGCACTTGGCATGGTGAGCTTGCTGGTGGATGATGGCAGGTGCCAGGGTGTGGGTGAGTTAAGGGAGCTGGAAACGTTTCCAAGGAGACTCCCAAAGGAGCTGGCCCACACTGCCAGCACACGACTTTTTCCCTGGTCAGGATCTACA